TGCCATTGGATCCAAAAAGCTTTGCATCCACTGGCCTGTGATCTTCCTGCATTCTGTATCATCACGTGTGAGTCAGAAGAGGGATTAATGGACTAGTATCGGATTTATGGGCTAATTTCAGACTTGTGGATTTGATCTGGCCCAGCCTGGGATGTTTTCTCAATAAACAATTGCTCTGTGATATAAAGCTCTCTCTTATACACATGTGGGTATCCCTGGATTTGCTTCTCTAGTCCACCCAGTCTAACGCAGGCCATTGCTTCATTCTACAAGCATCTTTTGCACACCTAATTCCTGCAGCCCTGCTCTGGGCTCCTTTCTCTTGGATGAGGACACACAAACAAGAAGCATGCAGAGAGTTGTCAGTGCTCCGCAGCAGTTAAATAGGTGAAGTCCCATGAAACACCTGGATGACTCCTTTAGCCTGCGTAGTCAGGATAGTTTCTCTGAGAAGGCGAGCTGTAAAGCTGAGGTCTGAATGGCAAGAAGAACCCAGCCAGGTGATGATCAACAGGGAGAGCATTCAGGGAAGAGGGCGCAGCTGGTGCTAAGAGCCTCGGGTGGGAATACGCTTGTGCTGGATTTAAGACAAGTGTGACTCGAGCCGATGGAGAAGACAGAGTGTGACATGAGGACTGGCGGGGAGAGGGAGGCAGGATACAGATCAAGAACCACCGACTAATCAGTAGAGGGGGAGTCATGCCCTGATGTGACAAAAGGCCACTGGAGACTTTACGCAGATGCAGTTTACATTTAAAAAGCTCAGCTGGCCACAGCACGTTGAAACTGGATTGTTTGGCGATGAGTGGAGCAAGAGACTGTTGCAGAAGTCGAGGAGAGAGAGGAGAGTGGCTCGTAACCCTCTGTGTACTTAGCAGCAAGTGAATTTAGCATTTGGTTTGGAGGTGGTGTGTCCAAGGACCAGGCCTAATGCACATCCTACCTGTTACCTGTACCCACGAGGTAAGTCCTGAAATGGAGAGAGCAGTTTAGAAAGTGTTATGGCTGATTGATACTGCTACTACATCCTCATGAGCTAAGTGTAGACTAGAGTTAAAAGCCAAATCAGTGGCCACTGAGTCAATTCTGACTTACGGTGACCCAGGTGTGCGGGTGTTGTCATATTTTCTTGGGGAGCTTCATGTGGGGAGAAGGATGGGAGCCAGAGGCAACATATGACTTGTGGGCCTGACTCAGCTCACGATGAGAATTTTCAAAAGAACTGCTTCTTCACCACAGTTTGAGAAGCATTGCAAGACTTGCCAATAGGTGGAGATTAATGTGAGAAAGAAAGCAAGAAATTGAGAATAGCTTGAATTACAAAATTCTATAGACACTGATGCTATTTACCAAACTACTGTGAAGCCAACAGGAAGGGTTTTTTTGGGGGTGGGGGAAGTATTGACAAGGAATGAGCTCTCCATATGGAGTAAAGTGGGCAATTGGTTTATAAATCTGGATGTGTAGATAATTATGGAGTAAAGATAGAGCCTGTGGGTGGCATTAAAGAGCTGACACTCGGTGGGATCATGTAAGGAAAGTGGGATGGGATTGAGAGAGGCATGGGCAATTAAAGTAAGCTTAGAGGATATAATTATTGGATATGAGACCACCAAAAAACCAAGCCCAAGAATACTGAAATCATATGGGTGACAGGATCAGGAAGTAAAATGGAATGCGTGAGACAGTTGTTAAGGCCATCAATACATGACAAGGGTTTAGCCAACGTCCGAGCAAGGGAAAGCTTGAATTTCTGGGGGTAGCTGAGGTAACTCATGACGGTGAAGTATGTTGGGCTCACTCCTGACACTATCTTAACAGAAGGTTGGAAACCTATTTGAGTTGGATGGTGCGAAATCCCAGAAATGCAGGTCTCTATAGCACTTGGAATTCCAAGACCTGAGTTTGAGCTCTGATTCCATCATCCACGAGCTGTGTGAGGTTATTAAAGTTAACTGAAACCTATTTATTCTCATCTATAAATGGAAATAAAATGTAGTGAATTGCCTAGTTCACACGGATCATTTGAGATAATGACTGCATAGGCACTTCACAAGCTGTAAAATGCAATTAAAAATGGATATATCATGAATTCTAATCACTGATCTCTAAGCTAGAGCAAGATCAATTATGTATTCTTCCTCTCGTCTGCCACAATACCTACCTAGTTCTTTGTGTTCTAGAGATTACGATAGTATTCAATCTCCAGCTTGTAAAATGACTGTCTCAGATTAGAGGTTCTTGTTAGCATCCCTCTCAATAATGTTTAGCCTTAATACTTTAAAAATTCTGAAGGGGAAAAAAAAGGCCCCAAATTTCTTTTCACTAAATCCATTTAAGTGAAGCATAAAGCAACACTTCTTTCAAGATGAAAGTCATAAAACAGTTTGCATGTTTTAACCTGATGATCCAGTCAATCCCCACAAAATGTTTACTTCTGAATCAAGTAAAACACCTATAACCAAACTCCAATGCACTGCGACTGAGGCAACGTTCATTCAGAGTGACCCCAGAATAGAAGTGCTCCATGGGGTCCATCGACTGGGACTCTCTTTACAGGAGTAGAAAGCCTCCTCCTCCCACAGAGCAGCTGGTGGTTTCAAACTGTGGACCTTACACACACGTACAGCAATCCCAAGTTCATAGAGCAGACACTCCCAGTGTGACTAGCTCCACGTCTAGAAACTTGATGTGGGGAAATAGTCTCCTAAACAGAAACGCTGAAGATGTTCTCAGTGCGGCCGTGAAGGAGCGCAAAGCTAGAGGTCCACTCAGTGGAGGACTAAGTAGCTAAGTAAGTACTGACACCTCCACTCAAAGGAACATGAGAAGACCATTAAAAATGGCCGTTTCACGAACCGCAGAACACAATCCACTAATGCAATGCACATGCAAAATCCACCAGCCAAGAGGGTAGGCTATGGTAAGCAGCCTAACAAGGGGATAAGGAGTGGGGCCAGAGGGAGTGAAGGACCGTCAGAAAGGGACGCGTGGAAAGTTAGAGACCCTCCTGAAAGCGTTCACACAACTTTTTTTTCAAACAATAATCAACGTGTGCACACAGACCTGGTTTGCGACCCTTGCTGAGCGTGGAAGACAAGATCCAGAGGGGAACTCGGTATGGTCCAACACCCCAACAACGCAATGTCTTTGTGTTGCTTTACCTCTCTTTTCTACCAGCCATTGCCAAGGCTACGCAGAACCTACAGGCGAAATTCAGGATTAGAGTTTATTAAGGAAGTTAGCATGTGAGAAAAGCTCAGGGCAGTTCTTTGCCAGGATGGTACAAAGTTTCAGGTCGGAAAATAAATGCCCAAAGGGGTATACCGCTCTGCTGGAAGCCTCAACCCAAAGGCATTCTGCGCATGCTACACACCCAGCTGCCTGAACTCAAACCCACTTCCAGGAGTCAGCACCGCCAACATCCCCAATTAGTGCCCAGAGGCACCCACCTGCACAAAAGCACCACTCACTTTACTTGCTTTGTGGGTTGGGAAATGCACCCCCCTCCATGCTCTGGCTCCATACTCTGATTCCGCTGCTGCTCCTCTGATTCCAGGAGGTTCACTGCACAGGCATCTTGGGTCCAGAGGACGTGCTCCCCTCCTGGCTCTTGCTGGTGCTGAGATTCCCTCCTCCTGCTTCTCAAAGGGCTCATTTTCTACCCAGCAGGATGGCACTGCGGGAGTCCTATTCACAATTACAGGTTAATCCTATCAGGGTTCCCCCACCTTCTTCCCCAGAGCCATGCAGAGAAAGGCCATTTAATGAGCATTAGAGACTTGGGCTAGAAGAGGCACTTTAAATTATTCACCGCCCCTGCAAATGCAAAGGTTATGCCTACTTATAGACAAGGACCAGAGATACGTACAAAAAATAATAATAATAGCTAGTCTTGGTGGGTACTTGGCTAGATTACGTTGCACCTTTCCACCTCAGTTTCTCCCATTATCAAACAGGAATTTGAAACTTGCTTCCCTAATAAAGCTCATGTCAGGTTTAAGTGCATAGAAAAGTATCCGACACACGGTTAATAAAACAATTCTTTCCCCCCTTTTGCTTCTCCTCCTCGTCAATATTATTTTCTTATTAGCTACTTCTCTGATTTTATTACCCACCATCCTTTTTTGCTCTCTCAACTCCATGTACTCTAAACCACACCAAACAGATGCCTAGCCGCAGGGTTTGAGTCTGTAAATCTTCACAGAAGGTTGGTTGGCAAGTTTGAACCCCCGACTTTAAAGTTAGTAACCCACTGCCTAGCCCACTGAGCCACTCGGCTCCTGCATGCACACGAGTTTTCTTGGTGTTTCTCCAACACGTTTGCACCCAGGTCTTCAGCTTTCTTCCTCCAGAATTTCCCTCAGTTGATGTTTCCATGGGCCCCTTCCTCAGAGATTCCCCGGCTGCCTCCCTTCTCTGTCACCTGGGTTTATTTTTTGTCACTGAGCTTAGCACCACGTGGCATTTCTTGATCCGTCTGTGCAACAATATTTATTCTCTGTCTACCTTACAAGAGAAGCCCCATGAAGACAGTTATTTGTTCAACTTCAAAACTCACTGTGGAGTCGATTCTGACTCTCAGCGACCCTACAGGACAGAGTAGAGCTGCCCCTGTGGGTTTCTGAGACTGTAACCGGTCTGGGAGTGGAAACCTCATCTTTCTCCCTCATGAGGCTTGGTGGTTTTGAACTACTAACCTTGCAATTAGCAGCATAACCCACTATGCTACCAGGGCTCCTTTTATCCAACCTGGTTACCTCTTATTACAGTCCCTGGAAGGATCCCAGGCATACAATAGAGATTTGAAAAGAATTTGTTGAATAATATTGGATGTTTGGGGGAGACTTTGTGCCTTGCTTTTTTTTTTTTCCTTTCCCTAAATCCGTTGGTGGCAATGTTATGTATGTAATAAATAGTAATCCACTTAAAGATACGTTTATCCTTACAGTTGGTCTCAGTGTGTAATCCTCCATCCTCTTTTCTAACCTGTTTGGCAGGTCGGCGGTGCAGAAGCTGGGAGCAGACGTGTTTGAAGAGGTGTATAACTACCTCAAGGAAGCCAGGCGGCAGCACGCCAGCGAGGCGGAGATCCGGGAGTCCCTGGAGAAAGTGGTGCCTCGGGCCAGCGACTGCTTTGAGGTCGACCAACTCCTTTACTTTGAGGCGCAGTTGCTGGCCACCACGGGAGAGGGGCCCACGCCCTAGGACCTTGGCCAGGCAACTGTGAAAGCCAGCAGATACTTGTGTGGACCAGCTGAACACATAGGTTGGGCTCCAATGTATGAAAAGTGGGCACAGAGCTGGGCAGGAGAAGGTGCCAGAGGCCACTGAGTGCCAACAACCTAGGTGTCCAGGCCGAACTGTGTTCCACAGGGTTTCCAGTGGCTGGTTTTCCAGATCACCAGGCCTTTCTTCTGAGGCACCGCTGAGTGGCCTCCAGCTTCGGGGGCAGATGCTGAGTATGTTGATGTACTCAGGATCTCCCGGTAGAGAGGAGGAAACAAGTCTACCTATGCTTATTAGGTCTTCTTCCCGAGAGGCTTGGGGATGGCTTTGGCTTCCTATAAAGCAGTGTTTACCAAAGTGGGTGATAACACCTCTGGGGGGGAAGGGGGGTCCGCAAAAGCAGATACCTACACTTCATCCTTGTTTTATAAAAGGTTACAAATTGGGCTGTAACCACAAGGTCAGCAGTTCAAAACCCACAACTACTACTCGAGAGGAAAATGAGGCTTTCTTTCTACTCCCAGTCTTGAAAACCCATGGGGACAGTTCTACTCTATCCTCTAGTGTCACTATGTGTTGGAATTGACTCCATAGCAGTGAGATTTTCTGTTTTGTTTTGAATGGGCCATAATGCAGAACTTTTTCATCAGCAGGGGTACACACCAAGTCAGTGGTTTTTTTCCTGAAAAGGGGGAAGTAGGCCACACAAATCTGGGGGCCTATGGTATAAAGCATTACACACACACATGCCCCCCGAGTTCCCTCAGGGCTTCCAGCAGGGTGCCAGCCTGAGAAGAGAGAGCTCAGGGCCTGATGCCCTTGGGTCTCAATGGTTGCAGCTGGACTGCTCGCAAGGATCAGTGGGCCTGGCCTCTGACACACACCCTCATGGGCTGTGCAGGGGTCAAGCACTCCCATCTCGGGGCATCTGCTTTTGGTCCACTTCAGGGACTAACCAGCAAGAAGTGCATCTGTAAAGGCCCTGGATCAAAACCTCACAAACTGACTCCCCCACCCCTGCCATGCATCCCTGCAGTACTTTGGACCGTCGACTCTTAACAAGTGTGCTTTCTGTGGTTACCAAATAAATCACCTGTTTGTCTTTTCCGTTTCCCAAAGTGCCTGGGAGAATGGGACACCGCCATCTAATGATCCATGTCCCTCTGACGGCAGCTGGTGTTCGGATATTTGGTGCCTTGGCCAAGCACTTCATGGGACCTGGTCACCACTGCACAGGCGGCTACCACAGGAGGAGTATCACCATTTATAGCTGAGCATACAAAGCAAGGTGGCCTGCTTAGTCACATAACAGAGTAGCAGGGGCAAGGTTTCAACCCAGGTGCATCAGACCTGCCTGAGGAACGTTGTGAACACACATTTAAAGTAGCCCTCCCCACCTCACTCCTTTCTCTAGGGGGGGCGGGAGACAAGAGGATAACACATGTCTTTTGTTGCCGTGACCTTGCGTAATCTGATGCATAGACCCACTCTTCTTTCTCCTGCTGGTGACTGAGGAAACAGGCGCAGAGCAAGCCTCGTTGCCAGTGGGTCGTGTGTGCCCGTGTGGTGCTTTGCACGGCAGCTCAGTGGTTCTCCAATCTGAGCTACATCAGAACCGTTGGAGGGGTTGTTAAAACGCAAGTCTCAACTTCCAGCAAGATGGCAGCTGAGCAACACCTACTGGAGGGTCTCCGCAGAAATCAGTGCAGGAGAGTCGCGAAGAGGGAAATTCCACACTGCTGTGTCGCAGGAGGAGTACCATAAAGATAAGTAGGCACAGATCCACCAGGTTTTGAGGAGCTGTGGGCTTACCACTGTGGAGGCCGGCTAGGGTTTAACCTTAGCCCTGCTCCAGTCTTGGCCAGAGCCGGACTCCTTTGGCTAGCTCAAGGGCTTTATAGCTCAACATAGCCACAGCACGCCACTGCCTCGGGGCAGGGTTTAAACCCCTCCAGCCCCACGGTCAGGGATCGGGGCTCAGCTATATGGTTACTTTTGGTTCCTTCTCTTTCTCTGGACCCCCACAGTCTCAACGGGCTGAGTTTTTCCTTCTGTTTTCTTTTTCTTTGCCCTTCTCTCTCACACACCACTGCTAACCTCCAGGCCACCCCCTCAGCCTAGGACAGTAGTTTCCAACCTGTGGGTAGTGACCCCTTTGGGGGTCGAACAACCCTTTCACAGGGGTCACCTACTTCACAACAGTAGCAAAATTACAGTGATGAAGCAGCAATGAAAGTAATTTCATGGTTGGGAGTCACCACAACATGAACTGGATTAAAGTGTCGTGGCATTAGGAAGGTTGAGAACCACTGGCCATGGGCATTTATGTCCACCCTCCACCCTCTGCAGCATAACATGCTGCTGAGGAAATCTCACTCACCTTCTTCCAGGGGAAATCCCACCTGTGTGGCTAGAGGAGCTTCTACCCGTCCTCTGTGCTCCCGTGACAGAGGGAACTCCCTCCCTCCTGCCGCAGTGCCTCCACGGCCTAAGGCAGCCCAGCCAACACAGTGCTCCTCACTGCTGGGGGACCCTCTGCCCAAACTCCGTGGCAATATAGCTGACCAGGGCAATTCCGCCTACCATCTGCAGTGCTGTACACCAAAGTGGGCATGCCCACCTGCCTTCTGAGGCACACCCCCTGAGGTGCCCCAGGCTGCAGTGGGCCACACAATCACAGCTTATTGTGAGATCACCCAATGCAGCACCATCCTCTTGGGTCCACAACCACCAAACGAGCGTCCCCTCAGAGGACCATCCAACTTGCCCTCCAAATAGCAGGTATGGGTTGACTGGGGAAAGAATGAAGCCACCGGAGGATAAAGCGGCAGGGCAATCCCATGGTGCATTAGCGGCAGGCTGTTTGAAAAACCATTCCTGTGAGGCTCCCAGAGAGCCCAGTGCTCCAGGGCATCTCAGGTTCTCACCCCATCACAGTTCAGTTCTGACAAAACTGACAGCAGGTGACCATGTCCCTCCCAGGCTTCTCGGAGTTCCACTATGAGGAGCTGGCACGCGAGAACCCCCTGAACACCGGCCCGCGTGTGTCAACGCGAGAACCCCCTGAACACCGGCCCGCGTGTGTCAGCTGAGAGCGCCCTTCTGAATACAGGGGACACTCCTACCGTGCTCTCCAAGGTCGGCTGCCGTGTCCTCTACACTGGACCCAAATTCCACCAGGTTCAAGAACGGGGTGAGCTGGGACGCAGACAGGGACTCCGGAGTTGATTCGTCACATTCCTGGTGGAGGGCAATTAACAACTCATGAGGAGCTGATAGTCCTACCACAAATGCACCGATGTTGTTAGAAAATGGTTTGGAGCTGTAAGAGCCCCCGATAAAATGATCTTAAAAAAGAAAAGTCTATGGAAATAAAGACCTACCTAATGCTCTCCCTTGAGCTTGCTACCGAAAAAAGGGAAGACACCCTCTGCCGTCAAGCCCGTTCCACTCATGGCAGCAGGATAGGGCAGCGGACAGCCCGAAGCTATAAATCTTTACTGGAGCAGACTGCCCAGCGTTCTCCCACAGAGCCCCGGCGAGATCAAACGATCGACCTGAGGCTATCAGCCCAATGCCTAGCACACTGGGCAGTCAGGTATCTTTAAGCATAACTTTTCCTTTTAACCTAAGTGGTGTTTGGGGACCAGGACTAGGAGAAAGCAAGTGAATAAACAGATTGCAAAATTTCAGAACGTCCCCCACAGCCTTGAAAGCAAGTGTCTCCTTAAAGTGGGCACCTTGTTCCAGGGTGGCCTTCCTCGGTCTCAAAGTTAAAGGTGTGGATGTGGTTAGCTTCCAAGTCCTTGTTTTAAAGGTGCTGCAAGAGTACGAAAGGCACCCTGGTGGAATGGTGGGTTCGGCATAGGGCCTTTAACCACAATTCTGGTGGTTCAAACCCACCAGCCACTCTGTGGGAGAAAGATGAGGCTGTCTGTTCCGATGAAGATTTATAGTGTCGGAAAGTCTAAGGGGCAGTTAGCTCTCTTCTGCCCTTGAGGGCTGTAATGAATCTGAATTGACGCCATGGCAGTGGGCGGGTGATACTAAGAATTGCAACTTTCTAAAAGAGATCTAAAAGGATACAAGATGGAAGAATTCATACTTAAAAATTAAAAATGATTTTAAAAGTTAAATCTCTCCAATAGATCAATCAATACATCAATCAGTCTTTCGGTGCATTACCTAGCTTCACCCCTCCCCACAAGTCTCGTGCATGGCTGGGTGTGTGCAATCTTGAACGGGGGCTGCATTGACTCGTTCTCCTGGGCAAACCCAAGACCTCAGAGGGTTTTCTTATTTAAAAGCAGGACGGAAAGTTCAAACTAATGTTAAGTGAAAAAGTCAAAAGACGCCAGGTCACACACACTGTGGTGAAATTTTGTGAGAAAACAGTCAAGTTATTTTTGAGAGGTCTTCTTTCTGTATTATATAATAATCACTTAGAGGGGGAAAAAATCAGCTGCATATTTCAGAGGTTCACCAATGTGAACGGAGAACTGCAAGAACAGAGCACAGAGCGTGTACGGAACGTGCCTTCACGCGCTTTTCAGATCATCTTTAACAATGAGTATCTGGCCTCTTGGTTGACTGACCGAAGTGCTCTTGAAAGAGAACCCAAAGAGTTATTATAATTGCTCTTCTTGGAAAAAGAAGGGCTTCCCGCTCAGAGCAGCCAAAGCACAGAGAGGACCAAGGGGCCAGCCCCACTACGACACTCGAAGTCCCTCACTGTCCCATAGCGCTATGGGGGACAACACTGGAGACAGTGCGCAGGGACTGGGCCTGATCTGACCCCACCACACTGAAGCAAAACACTAAGGGTCTGCAACAGAACAGGAAGGAACAGAGCAATGAAGTCACCAGGGAATGCCAAGGATAGACTTTGGGCCACAGTGTGGCACCCCATCAGACTCTACCAGAAAACAGTCCTAAAGGTCAACAAACAGACCTTGAACTTGTACAGGTTTTTCTCTTTTGCCATTTTTGTTGTTTTGTTTTCCTCAGTCTTGGTTTTTTTGTGTGCACATTTTTGTTTCTGCTGGTCTAGCTAGATAAGATATGCGGGATAAGCAATCAGGAGGAGAAAACAATGGGACTGACTATTCTGGGGGGCTGTGGGAGAGGGGGACAAAGGAAGTGGGTGTTAACAACCCCAGGTAAAAGGGAAGTGATCTAAAATCGATGACAAGGAGGGTGTAGGAGGCATGGTAGGGCTTGATCAAGGGCAATGTTACCAAGAGGAATTACTGAAACCCAAATGAAGGCTGAACATGATAGTGAGACAAGAGGAAAGTAAAGGGCATTTATAAGGTCCAAATACAGGCATGTATATTTGTAAATATATTTATATATGACTATGGGGAAATAGATCTATGTGCATATATTTATAGGTTTAGCATTGAGGTAGCAGATGGACACTGGGCCT